AAGACGTGACAAATAAAATTTTTCATTAACCTTTTTTCTTGTAACTTTGTATAATATGGTGCTCTAGACAATTTTAATTTGGTTAAGGTAATGGTACAAAAACATGTCATCATACAAACAACAAATACAATAATAAGTAATTAAAAAAGGTTGAATGTCCATAGGGCCCTCTTGTGTTCAGAATTTGAAATAGTCCCTTTATTTTTTGGGGTTCTCAATTAGGTCCTTATTTTTGGTAATTGATGCAAATAAATCATTTAAGTCAATCATCAAACGTGTTAATGAATGTGTGACGTGGCCTTACACGTGTCAATACTGTCCTCAGGCCACGTCACACATTCATTAATGCCGTTTGATGAAATTGACGGAAAGAATTTATTTGCATCAAATTAACAAAAATAAAGACCCAATTGAGACGCCAAAAAATAAAGGGACCTATTACAAATTCTGAACAAAAATAGGGACCTATTGAGACATTAAACCTTAAAAATAAAAATGTAACATAAGATACTGATATAGAAGAAACAACTATATAACAATCAATCAATATTCAATTTCAATCAATCACAAATATTAAAAAGTGATATATATTATGCATAGATTTATATGTCAATAGATATTCTATAAATAGAATATCATTCACACGAAAAACTTATATTAAAAATGTTCTCCTATGTATTATCCAATCAAGAAGTAGATTTACAAGCAAATTCACAAATCATGGAATTAGGATAAGTTCAACATAGCATATTTATGCACATCTACATATGTCAGAGTGTGTTGAGAACTCCTCTCTCAACTTCTTACCACATGAATATCTTAGTACATATATAACTAAGATCGTTAGTGAAATTTGTTATAACATAGGTGATGATACTTAATTAATAACTCAAACAATAATTCACACATCATCTTAAATGTATGACCTTAATTTCATACAAGTTCCATCAATCTATAATATAATTCTTTTAAATAAAACCATAAATCAATAGGAATTAATATTCAATTTTCATTTATAAAAAGTGTTAACATTCAATGAGTTAAAGAGACAAAAAAAAAAGCTATTTTTAGCTTGAGCGAAAATATGTTTATTTAAGGTAAAATTGGGGAAAAATGGGTTGAGCTGCAATATTATTTTCACTTAAGAGAAAAAATCTTTGCTTGAGTAGAAAGAAGGTTGAAAAGAAAGTCATTTTCAAGTCTATTTTGGGTTAAGTGAAAAAAAAAATCCTCAATAAAAATAAGACAAAGAAAAAGGTATGTATTTTTGTTTTATTTTTGCGTGAACAAAAATACTTTGCTTGAGCAAAAATATCAAATAGTCCCCATGACCGAATCAAACTAGACTTCAATATTAATTTCAAAAGCATTCTAATAATGCAATTTCTATACAATTCAAATTATTAAATTCAAATCATAATTTGCTTGAAGTTTCATTCTTTACTAATTTCAAATCAATCTTGAACCCTTAACTCAAAGTATAGTTGCTAAGATGGTACGTAGTAGGCCTAAGCGGTCACCCACGGGCTTCGCCCACCCATTGAAAATGCCGGCTTTCATTTCCATTCTCTTTTACACAGGGCCTCTTAGAATGGGTATAGTTCGACCACTTATGTAAAAAACGCAAATATATATATATATATATATATATATATATATAAAGACGTAACAAATAAAATTTTCATTAACCTTTTTTCTTGTAACTTTTTTATAATATGGTGCTCTTAGCCAATTTTTATATTTGGTTATGTACATGGTAAAAAAACATGTCATCATACAAACAACAAATACAATAATAAGTAATTAAAAATAAAAATGTAACATAAGATACTGATATAGAAGAAACAACTATATTAACAATCAATCAATAATTCAATTTCAATCAATCACAAATATTAAAAAGTGATATATATTATGCATAGATTTATATGTCAATAGATATTCTATAAATAGAATATCATTCACACGAAAAACTTATATTAAAAATGTTCTCCTATGTATTATCCAATCAAGAAGTAGATTTACAAGCAAATTCACAAATCATGGAATTAGGATAAGTTCAACATAGCATATTTATGCACATCTACATATGTCAGAGTGTGTTGAGAACTCCTCTCTCAACTTCTTACCACATGATATCTTAGTACATATATATATAACTAAGATCGTTAGTGAAATTTGTTATAACATAGGTGATGATACTTAATTAATAACTCAAACAATGATTCACACATCATCTTAAATGTATGACCTTAATTTCATACAAGTTCCATCAATCTATAATATAATTCTTTCAAATAAAACCATAAATCAAAATAGGAATTAATATTCAATTTTCATTTATAAAAAGTGTTAACATTCAATGAGTTAAAGAGACAAAAAAAAAAAGCTATTTTTAGCTTGAGCGAAAATATGTTTACTTAAGGTAAAATTGGGGGAAAAAATGGGTTGAGCTGGAATATTATTTTCACTTAAGAGAAAAAATCTTTGCTTGAGCATAAAGAAGGTTGAAAAGAAAGTCATTTTCAAGTCTATTTTGGGTTAAGTGAAAAAAAAAATCCTCAATAAAAATAAGACAGATAAAAAGGTATGTATTTTTGTTTTATTTTTGCGTGAACAAAAATACTTTGCATGAGCAAAAATATCAAATAGTCCCATGACCGAATCAAACTAGACTTCAATATTAATTTCAAAAGCATTCTAATAATGCAATTTCTATACAATTCAAAATATTAAATTCAAATCATAATTTGCTTGAAGTTTCATTCTTTACTAATTTCAAATCAATCTTGAACCCTTAACTCAAAGTATAGTTGTCAAATTGACTTATGGCCTATGCTCCAACCTTAGCCCACCCTTGAATAGCCTCCTTTTAAGGGCCCCTAATTAAGGGACAAAAAAAAAGCCTCAGCACCCAAAGTTCACTCTCAAGTGGGTTAGGGTAAAGGGTAAGGTGAGTTTTGTCTCAATACAAGACTTTAATTAAGCTTTAAAAATAATACCTTTAGCCTGGGTCATATATTGAGTTAGACCAAGCCAAAGACCAAAATGGACCGACCTAGGTTGAAGGTAGAAACGAGTTGTTTCGAACAAAAATTTCAAACGGGCTATATCAGTCTTAGTGTCGAGATGGGTTAACTCAGGCCAGAGGTCAAGAGGGGTCGAAGGTCGAGCAAGGTTGACTCAAACCAAAGGTTGGGATGGGATAACCAAGGTTGAAGGCCGAGAGTGGTTGGTTAGGGCCAAAGATATAAAAAGGTTGGCTTGAGTTGAATAACGAGAGCGAGTCAAAGGTTAAGACGGGCTGGCCCAAGACGATGATTGAGACGAGTCAGCTAAGGTCGAAATGGGATGGTTTGGGCCAAAG